GATCTTTAAGGTCCTTTCCAACCCAAACCATTCCATGATCCTAAGTAAATACACTTCCTTAGTATAAATACTGTAAATATATCACATTTGGCTGCTGCCAAAAGTCACAAGACTCCAGGAGTTGACCCACCCCAGGAATGAACACACATTGCTCATCCTACCCCTGGATATTCCTGGAGGCAGGCTGGATCCTGGGGACCCCTCATCCACCCCAGGGACCAGCAGTGCTCTTTGGCTCACCTAGTGCCTCCTCTTCCCTCTGTCTTGCTCCTGATCCACAGCCAGGGATCAAACCTTGCAGAATTAAAACTCAGCTCTTGTGGCTCCCAGTGACTCTCCCCTTCCCTTTCCAGATTATCCCGACTAACGTCTGAGAGTGGACAAACAAAAGCTGTTTGCCAGCTGACACAACGTGGGAATGAGCAGCAGTGTGCCAAACAGATCTCAAATTAAAACACAACCAAACCCAAAATGAACCAAACCCCACCAGCCCTGAGATGAGAATCTGTTTGACCACGTCTGGAGTTGATTTATGGTCCTTCGGTGATTTCATCAGGAACCTGAAATAAAGATATCTGAGATTTGCATATGTCTGTGTTACACACTGAAATCAGCAGGCCTTCCACGTCTTTTATTAAGAAAGCACAGATAATGAGTGAAAGAAAATGCTAATTTTATTTGGTGGCTCCCTCTCCATTCAACTTCCTTGATCAGAGAGACAAATTAAGAAGGATAGTGAGTTTATCCAGGAGCCATTTGTTAGACATCTTCCCAAATCAATGCCTGACACAATGGAGTATCTTTTTGCAATAGAATTTTATTTGTCATGTTGGGCCAGAAGCATCAGTTAATAATTCACTCCACAGTTCCATAAAGCTCTGTCTCTATCTTTCACACAACCTTGCAGCTTCACAGGCTGTTGTTAAGAGTAGCTTAAAATAGTCTGTTATCAGTCCTGACCGTCGCTGTTATAACTCAAACAGATGCACTATCTCTGATCATTCTGACAAGGAAACAAAATAAACAACCCAGTAACTTTGAAAAGGACATGGACACACTGAATATATCCCAGGAACGGGCTCTCACTCCAGAGATCAGGGCAGGAAACATGGAAAAAAGGGCAAATCAGCAACAGAACCGCTGCCCTGACCTTGTTATCAGAGAATCACAGAGCCATGGGATGCTTTGGGTTGGAAGGGACCTTAAAATCATCCCATTCCACCCCCTGCTAGGGGCAGGGACACCTTCCACTAGCCCAGGTTGCCCCAAGCCCCATCCAACCTGGCCTTGGACTCATTTCTGAGTCAGGTCTGGATTTTCTGTTTTCCCACATCCTTGCCTGCTGCCACATATTCATCTGGTTTGGATGCCAGGGTTCAGAAAAGTCACACTCAGGTCAAGATACCTGGAATTAGTATGATTGGAGTGTACAGGTAAATATTCCAACTGTCCAGGCTTAGTGATCTGCCACGTCCCCCAGAGACGTCTCGAAAGAACAGAATAAAAACATCAAGTAAGAAAACGAGTTCAGAAATGGCACCTCCGGAGTCAAACACACTGTTCTTAATTCTGCAGGGTCAAGACACTTCCCACATTCAATCACAAATATGTCATCTCTGATTTAGCTCAGCCTGCTGATTTGCAGCTCCTGGAGCAGGAGTGAGCTCCGAGGGCCAGCCTGGACTGCACTGCCCTGCAAAGGCAACAACCTGCCCAGGCCCCGAGTCTTCAGGCCAACAAATCACATTTTTTGTCTGGGAACAGCAAAACAAACCCTGGGACAGATTCCTGCACACCCCAGGCCCTTCCCACAGCTCATTCCAGGTGCTCTCTCCTGTGGGAGGTCAGGCCCTGGCAGGTGAACACTTCACCTGAGCATCTCAGAGATGTTCTGCTCCCCAGAGGGCAGCGAGGCTTTTATCCCATAAAGCCCTGACAGAGCCATTCCCACTGCAGGGATCTGCTCCCTTAAGCCTTTACAGAAGGTCGACAGATCCAGCAAGGGAGGGAGGGGGCTTTGCTGAGCCCAGAGGTGAAGGAGACTCCAGAGGTGAAGGAGACTCCAGAGCTCAGGGAGTTCCTTGGGTTTCTGGATGACAGAAACTTGGGGCTGAGAGAGTTGAGATTGGAGAGCTCAAGGGTCCAGAGAGGACTCAGAGACCCTTCCAGTGCTTAGAGGAGCTCCAAGAGAGCTGGAGAAGGATTTTGGACAAGGGTCTGGAGGGACAGGACACAGGGAATGGCTTCCCACTGCCAGAGGGCAGGAAGAGATGGGATGTTGAGGAGAAATTCCTTCCTGTGAGGGCAGTGAGGGGCTGGGATGGAATTCCCAGAAAAGCTGTGGCTGCCCCTGGATCCCTGCAAGTGTCCAAGGCCAGGTTGGACGGGGTTTGGAGCAACCTGGGCTAGTGGAAGGTGTCCCTGCCCCTGGCATGGGATGGCACTGGATGGGCTTTGAGATCCCTTCCAACCCAAACCATTCTGGAATTCTGTGATTCCATGATATTTCCCTCTCCAGGCCTGTGTTGTCCGTGGTCAGTTGAGTTTGTTGGTGGAGCAGTGACAGAACCTGGGGCTGTCCCTCCTTCTGGACACAAACCCTCCAGGGAGCCCCGGGGTGTCCCTTCCCCTCCTGCTGCCCAAGCTCTGTAGGAACAATCCCCATGGAACCCCAGGAAATGGGGAATTCCTGGGCCAGGAAAGCAGGACAGCCCTGGCTGTGGGGCAGGCACAGCACTCCGAGATGCAGGGAGGACACTGATAATGCAATTTAACTTGGAGCACAACAGGAGCTCCTCAAATCCTTCGACTTTGGCAGTTCCTGTCCCTGTGGAATTGTCTGCACGGGGCCAGCAAGGAGGGACTTTGTTTACAGACTAAACAAACACAACATGGCAGAGTGAAGAAAACAGTCAAATCCACCCAAATTCATCATCTCACTCTTGTCCTCTTCCTTTAAAACACAGGATACGCAGCCAGATGGGAGTTGGGAGCAAAATCCATATGCTTTCCCTAAAAAATCCCACAGAAAACTCTCTGGACTGTATTTGTGGAATTAATGAGATGAGTGGCAAACATTACAGATTTGTCATGTGCACGAGGAGTGTTGCCATAACCAGCACTGAGTTACTCATCACCAACTCTGCCAGTACAAGTTTAATATTCCCAGCTATGAAATAAAACCCCCTCTTTGGCCTGGATGCATTGGGAAAAACACTGAAAAAGTACTGTGTAGAGTCAAACTTTGTGGCACTAACAAAGATTTTATTTCCTGCTGAGCCAAAAATCAGTAAGGCAAGAAAATGGGGAAAAGACATTCCTTGATCTGTGCAAAAATTAAACCAACCACTCGTTCATTCCTATTAGTTTGTAAGAATATCAGTTAAATTCTGAACACTGGGAACAACCTGCAGGTACCACACACAAGAGGATTAATGATAATTAAGGGAGGAAGATGATCATCAAAGGAAGATGATTCTCTAGTTTTAAACTTTGCAAATTTGGAAATAACCAGAGAGCCCCAAAGAAGGGGATTTTAAGAGCACAATTCTGAGAACTACTGGCAAACAGAGGGGACTGTAATTAAGGCAGAAATTAAAAAACAATAGGATGGCAACTTTTATCCTTGTTGTAAATGAGATGTTGTTACTCAAAAGGATTTTAAAATATTTCCTGTTCCACACTCTTTAGCCCCAGGACAGGGATGACTCTCCGTTTTTGCTTTTAAAGGGTGAAGCAAATGAAGTCCAGTGTTATTTTTCCATCTCTCTGCTCTAAACTCTCTGCCTGCTCTGCATCAGCAGTGTCACAGCAGCTGTTTGTTCCTGGGGAGTCCTTGTCTCTGGATGCCTAAATCAGGTTTCACCAGAGGTGTTTGTGAAGTGGAAATAATGCCCCATTTGAGGGGGGGGTTGGGAATTAGCAGCAAATTAGCTCAGGGAAAAAAAGGAGGAAAATGCCACCAAATTGTCAGATTAAATATAATCTTCATCTATTACAATAAACTCTTTCTTACAGATACACCTTTCATCCTGGCAATCAGCAATTCCCTCCATTGATCCCTGCAGTGATCCAGAAATGAGCTCCAGCAGAGGATTTTAGGGAGGAGAGCTCAGGAAAACTCTGATTTCCCTGCAAACAGAGCCCTGTGTGCCAAATGAACCCCTCTGGAGAAGCTTTGTGGAACCCTCCTCCTCATTACATAAAAGCTTTTACTGGATTACCAGTTCAGCCAAAGCTGCCCAGGGAGATTGTCCCGAACAACAGGACTGGATTTGGGTTTTCCAGCAGCAGGAATCGCTGGGCCTGGGATTGAGCACGGGCTCAGTGCCTGAAAACAGGGTTGGGCTCACTCACTTATCAACTCCGAGTAGAAATCATCCCTCAGATCCCAGTCCCCAACTAGGCTGGGATTTCCCAAAAATTATATTTCCAATCATGAAATCCCAGAGTGGTTTGGGTTGGAAAGGACCTCAAAGCCCACCCAGTGTCCCCCCCTGCCCCGGGCAGGGACACCTTCCACTGGCCCAGGTTGCTCCAACCTGGCCTTGGACACTTCCAGGGATGGGGCAGCAAACCAGGAATCTACACTGCAACGTGCTAAGGGTGCAATTCAAATTCCCAGTTGAAAACTGGCTGCCTTGTAACATCCAAAGGTTCAGATTTCCCTCCCTTTCCTGGGTTTTTCTCCATTTTTTTCCTCCCAGCACCATCAGATTGACCCTGAAAACCTGAGTTCAGCAGATTGTCCTGCAGCAGGACTATATTTATTTATGTTATATTACATTATTTTCAGTATTACCAAGGTCAAAGGGAGCAGAAACCCGTTTAATCCCCATCCCTTTGATGCTGGAGCAGCGGGATCACCTTAAGGGGATTCCAGCCCAGGGGCTGGGAGCCATATGGGAACACACACAACACACACACACTAATCCAGTTTGCCTTCCCTGCCCTCCTCCCTCCCCCTCTGCCCACTGGATGCCCTGGATTTGCCACATTCCAGAGTGACTCAGGCTGGGGTCAGACACTGAACATTCCCGTGGATTACCTGGAATTCTGGGATTAGAGCAGTGCAGGCAGCTGGAAGCTCATCCCTCTCCCCTCCCCCTGCTCCCATCCACTGGTGGTACCAAGTACCACAAAATCCCTGGAAAACACGCAGGAAAAATCCACTCCAGTGCCCAGATCCCACAGAAAACAGATGACAGGACACAGAGTCACCTGCCCAGTGGGATAAAACACCTTGGCAACACTTCCCTGACCCAGATGCAAACACTGACAACAAGAATTCCAGCTCTGGGGGAGGAAGGAAAGAGAGAATAATTCCACCAGACAAAGATCCAGCTTTTCCACCCACTGGGGGGAGGAGGGAAGACACCGATGGAAATCCTTGGACACTTATTTTGGGGGAGGGTGCCCCTAATTTGAGTGTATTTAACCTTTAGCCTGTGGTTTTACCTCCTTTTGAGGAAACCAGGAATAACCCAGTGGATCCCCAGGTGTGAGAAGCTGGAATTGGCTTGGAAAGGTCTCTGGGCTCCACCCAGGTGGAATAAGGGAAGTATTTCAGTTAGAGGGGAGCCTAAACTGGATTATCTGAAGGTTCCTTCTGGCTTTTAAAAAACACAGGGCTGTGGGTGAGGCAGCTGCTGACTTGGCTCAGGGTCCCCTGAGACGCCGAGGAAACAATTCCACAGCACCACCTTATCCAGGAAAAAAAATGGAAATAAACCAGAGTGGGAAAGGTTTCTAATTGTTTATTTTTACCACTGCCAGACAGATTGTGTCCTTAGGGAATGTCACACATTCCTGCTGGCTCCCTACCCCATGGCACGGCAGCAAAACCAAATCCCACAGGTTTGGAGCAGAAATCCCTGTGTGTCCAACCTGCTGCAGCCTCACTTCTGGCACTGGGCTGAGCAGATTCGACTGAATTTTAGGCATTTTATCTTCAAAAAATTACCCAAACCCCTAAATCCCTCATGCACACCCATCTAGTATTGAGTTTTTAGGGAGCTGGAGGTTTTTTAGGGCTCTCCTGGAGTTTATTCTGGTTGTTTCTGTGCTATGGTGGGATGAGTACAAACTGCTGGCAAAGCAGTAAAGGAGCACAGATTTCACATTCCCACAGCACAGGAGAGCACCAAGTACCACAAACATGCAGGAAAAATCCACTCCAGTGCCCAGATCCCACAGAAAACAGATGACAGGACACAGAGTCACCTGCCCAGTGGGATAAAACACCTTGGCAACACTTCCCTGACCCAGATGCAAACACTGACAACAAGAATTCCAGCTCTGAGGGAGGAGAGAGAGAATAATTCCAGTAGACAAAGATACAGCTTTCCTTAAATTAAAACCTAAAGCACCAGCAGGCTTGGAGAATTCCCTTATTAGCTTTGAAAAACTACTGTGCATTAAAAACCCCCTCGGAATGTATTTCACTTCTTCAGCCCAGCAAAGAACCCAACCAAGGCTCTGCCATTTGTTCATTTACAGCAAATATTAACATGGAGCCCAATTTTCTGCCTGACACGATCACTTGAATTTTTACCAAGACGAATGTTTCGAACAGCAAAGAATAATTAAATCATTTTCTACTCCAAAAGGAGCCTCATCATGGGGTTTCACCGTCCTGTAAATCATCTAATGATTTTCTGCTCGTTTAAATATTGCCTCCCCACAGCAAACTGAAAATCTACATATGGAGGGACTTGCAGGAGGGACCAAGTTCCTAAATCATCCAAAGATTTCCTGTTACCTTGGCCTGGGAAACAGGGCAGGATAAGGCATAATCAGCAGGGCCAAATTCCCATCTGGGACGTTCCTTGTTCCCTTCAAAACAAATCATCTGCTACAAAATGAGAAAGGAATTTCCACTTAAATTTCAAAATTTCGAATTAACTCTTCAGTCACTGCGAAGGAAAAACCTCTCAGTTTGCTCAAGGTACTCTCTCTTCAAAAGAAAAGCTTCCAATCAGCTATAAAATATATATATATAACACATGTATTTGATCAGAATATTCAGAAAAGCTTATCTGGAGACATACAATGATTTTAGAATACTTCATATCTGATACAAAGGGAGATAAACCAGCAAGGAGTTGTCATTCTCCCTTTTTCAAGTGGTTCACATGAGAAATGAGCAGCTTCCTCAGAAAATAAGTTCTGTATTTCACTTCCAGTGCAGTTGTGAGGATAGTTTTAGCAAAGGGATTTACAGATCAGGCCTCTTATTCTTGGTTTTGCTCAGAAATTGGGGGTAACTGGTAACAAAAAACCTGACAGAGGAGCATTTGCTGACTTGGGCATTGTAAAAGCTGGATCCTGTGAGTGGATCAGGAATTCTACCAGCACTGAAAGCTCAAAATGCCTCAGTGCAGAGCCTCCTGGAGCCTCCCCAGTGTCAGCTGGAAACTCTGAGGGAGAGATTTGAGGAACTGTCGAGCCCATTGTCATTTTTAATGAAGGTTAAACTGTTCATCCCCAGGTAAATTCACTCCTTGCTGCCCAACTTTACAATCCCCATCCCCCTGAGTCCCCCTGCTCCCTCTCCTGGGGGTTTGGAGCCCTCAAACACCGAGAGGACCATTTCCCTCCTCGTTCTCAGCAGCACTGCAGGACCAGGCTGGCAGGAGGGACCCCTCTGGTTCTGCTGGATCTTGGAAGCAGGGAAGGTCGGGCTGTTTCCCAGGCACCTGTGCAGCAAACACATCCCATGGACTCGTGGAATCATGGAATAGAGAATCACAGAATGTCCTGAGCTGGAAAGGACCCCCAAGGATCATCCATCCAGCTCCTGGCCCTGCACACACCCCCCAACAATCCCTCAGAGCGTTGTCCAAACCCTCCTGGAGCTCTGGCAGCCTTGGGGCTGTGCCCAAACCCTGGGGAGCCTGGGCAGTGCCCAACCACCCTGTGGGGGAAGAATCTTTCCCTGGAATCCAACCTAAACTTCCCCTGACACAGCTCCAGGCATTCCCAGGGTCCTGTCCCTGCTCCCACAGAGCAGAGATCAGGGCAGTCCCTCAGGAGGAGCTGCAGCCCCTGGGGAGTCCCCCCTCAGCCTCCTCTTTTCCAGGCACATCCCAGGTGAGGAATCCTGCTCGACCCCCTCCTAACCCTGGAATGGCTCTGTGACCAGAGGGATGACTCCTGGGCTGGAGGACACAAACAACTCTGATTCCAGCTCACACAGAGTGCTCACAAAATCACAGAATCCTTGAATCCTTAAGACTGGAAAAGCCCTTTAAGATCATCAAGCCCAGCAGCTGAGCCAGCACCATCTCCACATTCAGGTGCCACTGAACAGCCCAGTGTGTGGATCTCACCCACCACAATGGCACCATCCCACCAGGAATGCAGATTAACTCTTGGAACTGCCCAGTTCCTGCAGTTGGACTCCAATTCTGCCTCTCATTCCACACAGTCCCCCCCCCCTGTGCCCTCACAGAGGGACAGTTCAGTCCCTGGCTCTGGAGCTCTGGTGTGTGACAGCACAGCCCAGACTCGAGTCACAGCCCAATCCCCACAGAACAAAGCTCTCCTTTGTCCTGCAAAAGGGAGAACTTGAGAAACTAAAGGAATTTCTCAAGGTCACAGAAGAATTCCGTGGAAATTTCCAGCAGAACCCAGGCACTGACACCCCGGTGACACACAACCTTTATTATGGACTGAGGCTCCCAAATCAGGGGATTATTTTTAATTTCCCTCTGCACTGGCAGGAACAGGGCCACAGGGATGGGACAGAGGCTAAAAGGTCTCTAAAGAGTCGAGTCCTTGGAAGCAGAGCTGCTTTGGGATCAGAATTGCTGTGCCTGGGCTGCCTTAGAGCTGATCCTCTCCCCTCCCACACATCAGGGGTCCAGAGAACGTCAGGGACAGGAACAGCACAAAACCTGCCCAGGCCAAGAAACACAGTTGTCACACTGGTAGAGTGGCAGTGGAGAAAGGAGATTTGTACTTGGAATTCCAAAATAAGTTGATTCCTATAGGAAACTAGTGAGATTCCTTTAATATCAATTGAAATATTTACTTTTTTCTTGCCATAATGAATCTGGAATTCACTTTTGCTCAATGATAAAAAACTGAAGCTGATATACAGACACTGGGTTTTTAAACAAGAGGGTTTTTTTTAATGAGGAGGGAAGGGAGAATACAACAAGTTAACAATGGTTGCAAATGATATTCAAATCTTACTGGAAAGAAAGGAGGAATTGCTTGCTTTTACACACAGCAAAACTGCAACATTGCAAAAGCATCATTATTCTGCTGTTAAAATGACAAAAAAATAACCCTCTGCCCCAAGAGATAGTGCAATTTATTAGGATTTCAGTGCTGAATGCACTTGTCAAATATTTAATCATCCCATTCTTTGCATTAAAACCCGCGCAGAGGGAGTTTGCCACTGGGGAACAGCAACAATCCACAGAAGTGGGGATATTTTTGGAGGACACTTCTCAAGAGGAGCAAGAGATGTGGGCAGGGAAGATGGTTGTGCTGCTGTTGTGGACTGAGGAGAACATTCAGAGTGGAAAATGGGACGAGAGGCTCCTCCAGGCCTGGATTTGCCGAAGGAATGGGAGGGAATGGGTCCAAGAAGATTTTCACCCTCTGAGCTTGGGGGGTCTTTGCAGACAGAAAGCAGGGATTCCTTAGAAAGGGGCATGGAAGCAACAGCCTGTTTGGGAATGCTGGTCCTGAGTCTGCCTGCCCTGGGGATCCCAGGAAAGGAGGGGCTCAGCTGGAAGCTCCCGCTGCTCCGAGTCCCTCAGGAAGCTCCCGAGCTGGCCCGGAGGGATGGGGGGAGCTGCTGGAGGTGACACAGCAGGGCAGGAGCCACAAGTCTCATCCCACTCCTGGATTTTCCTTTGGTTCCCCGAGCTGAGAGACCAGACCAGAACTGTGGGTAACTCGGGATTTGAGTGGAATGGGAATTCCACAGGGAATCTCACAGAGCTGACTCGACTGCTTTCACTTTGAACCAGGCTCTGCTCTCCTACAGAATTCTTTCATTAATTTGTTTTGGAGCTTCTTTTCACAGCCTGATCATTCCTGCTTTGCCTGTCCATGTAAATCACGAGTGCCCAAAAAAGTCTGAGTGATAAAACAGCTGCTCCCTCAGGAACAACCCACAATCCTGACAGCTGACTTTTCCATCAAACTCCATCCACAGGGAAGAATATCAAGTCTGTCCTGTGTGAGGAACTTTGCTGGTTCGTGTCTGCAGAAATCTGTGGCTCCAGACAATATTTATGTTATAAATAACCTGATTGCTGTTTGGCCTCGCTGTGTAACAGAGCACTTGGAACAATCACCACGGTGGAGGGATTATTATTCCACCTTTCTGGGGGTGGAAAGCAGGGAAATGTGTTTCCATCAGTCATTTCACAGGAGCCCAGCTCAGCACCTGCAGCAGAACACCTGCACTGCTCGTTTAGCAGTTCCCTTTCCTCGGGGTCTCAGCCTCTCTTTGCACATCAGGGTCTGGAGCTATTCTAGGAACAGATCACAAAGCTGATTTCTTGACCCTGAGCAGCCAAATTCATACAAGACCTGAGTCAGGAGGCACAAAACAGGCCAGAGAATGTCTGACAATACATCCCAGCCACTCTGAGAGCTGCCCCCAGAAAATGGAATTTCCCTCCCAGGGAAATTCTGCTGGTTCAAATTTAATTTTCTTCTAACAGAAGAACAAGAAAACACCTGCTACTTTCAGCTGAACTTGTTTCAGCCCTTGTACACAAAAGGTTTTCAATGTTTCTGGGAACATATAGCCCAGAAACTGAGAACACCACCACATATTTCAGTTTTATACAGATAAAACACCCTGATATTCCCAGATCCCACGTAAATCTAAGCAATTTTTACTGATTCATCTGCAACCAGCACCAAGTAAACTATAAACCAAAGTGGGTTTCTCCTAAAGGACCTGGTATTCCAGCAGGATGGCCAACTGCAAATCTTGTCCTTCCCCCTGCAAAATGGCAATGTCAGAACTGGGACACAGGTAAGGACGTACCTGGAATTCCTAGAAAAACACAGACAGCATTTGCTTCACAGGACATGACAAGAATTCACCACCAGGACAAGAAAATACTGTTTTACACCTCCTCTCATTCAGTGGTATTCCAGGGAGCATCCTGAGTGTCCATGAGAGAGGAACCACAACAGTGTTTGACTGAACTTAACCCTGGAAATGAGTCGTGTGAGAAACCCTCACTGAGAGGGGAAAAAACCCAATTAATGTCACTGAGACTTCATTCTCTTCCACTAAATCTACTTTGGTTGGAATTCCAGCAGCTCTCCAGCCAACAGGACTGTGGGATTTGCCCAGAGAAGCTGTGGCTGCTCCTGGATCCCTGGAAGTGTCCAAGGCCAGGTTGGAGCAACCTGAGCTGGTGGAAGGTGTCCCTGCCCAGGGCAGGGGGGGGACTGGGTGGGCTCTGAGGTCCTTTCCAACCCAAACTAGTCTGGGATTCCATGAGCTGGTTTAGATGGGATATTGGAAGGAATTCTTCCTTGTGAGGGTGGGGGGACACTGGCACAGGTTGCTCAGAGAAGTTGTGGCTGTTCCTCAATCCCTTATTTAGCCCTGAGATCTCTGGGGAGACCTGAGAGCCCCTTCCAGGGCCTGAAGGGGCTCCAGGAGAGCTGGAGAGGGACTGAGGACAAGGGATGGAGGGACAGGACACAGGGAATGGTTTCCCACTGCCAGAGGGCAGGGATGGATGGGATATTGGGAAGGAATCCTTCCCTATGAGGGTGGGGAGAGGCTGGGCTGGAATTCCCAGAGAAGCTGTGGCTGCCCCTGGATCCCTGGAAGTGTCCAAGGCCAGGTTGGATGTGGCTTGGAGCAACCTGAGCTAGTGGAAGGTGTCCAGTGGAACTGGATGGGCTTTAAGGTCCTTTCATCCCAAACCAGTCTGGGATTCCAGGATTCCTGGTACCAGCAACACTCACAGCAGCAACAGCTGAGCTGAGTGACAAAGCTCAGCAACAACAACACACCACTGACAGGCTTCAAAGCACCAGTTTCTGAGAGTCACGGGGTGTTAATTTTCCCTTAATTAGATACCTGTGATCCAAATCAGCCTTGGGGGACGACTCACACATTACTAAGAAGGCACATGAGCCCCCAGTATCCCAAACCCTTCAGCAGAGGGATTGACTCATCCTGCCCACTCCCAAGACATTCTTAGCACCAGGAGCAGCAGGACTCAGGGACTCCTTCAAAACAATCTATTTTATCTGTTGGTTTAACAATGAATTAAACTTAACAATAAATTACACTTAACAATAAATTACACTTAACAATAAATTAAACTTAACAATAAATTAAACTGGAGGGGGCTTGGTGCAGCCTGATTTAGGGGAAGGTGTTGGGTTGGATCAAGATGGGGTTTAAAGTTTCTCCCAACCCAAACCATTTTGGGAATTCTGGGAATCGAAGTTCCAGAGTCCCTCACAGAAAATGGAGCTCCCAAATTCAGCACACCTGGACTGTCACATGCCATTAACTTCCTTCAGAATCTGAGAGATTAAACAGCCACAAAAGGGACAGAAGAGGAATAATGACGAGCAAGGGTTGTTGTCTACATATGTGAAGTGTCCTAGGCAGGAAAATGAGAATATTAATATTAAAATTAAATTAACCTGAGTTGCTGTGTTACGATTGGTGCAGGGGGAGGGAGGAAAGGGAATGAAAACTGCCAATAAAGGCCCAGAGAAATCTGGAGCTGAAGGGGAGAAGTCACATATTTCCATCTCTCCTCTCCTCTAATCCTGGGTTTCACCTGTGTCACTGACATTTCCTGAGCTAAAAGCACATTAAAACTCACCTGGCAAATCCCAAACAGCCATTCCAGGCCTGAGCCTCGAGTGCCCTTTGTCCAAGTGTGCACAGGGGGAAAATCCAGGAACCACAGCACGTGGGGAAAATCCATTCCAGCCTCGTTTGCCTCATGCCAGCACATCCGACCCTCCCTCAAGAGAGAACTGCTTTCAAACAGTTTGGAAGAAAATGTCCTGATCCAACATAGGGCTGAGCCATCACTGACACTCATGGAATCATGGAATGGTTTGGGTTGGAGAGAACTTAAAGCCCATCCAGTGCCACCCCCTGCCCTGGGCAGGGACACCTTCCACTAGCTCAGGTTGCTCCAACCTGGCCTTGGACACTTCCAGGGATCCAGGGGCAGCCACAGCTCCTCTGGGCAACCTGTGCCAGTTCCCCCCCTCTGGGGGTGTTGGAGCCTCTCAAGTCCTTAATGCTGCGAAAATCATCAAGGGATGGCTTTATTTTGATATTCCAGCAAGACACATTGTATTAAAAACCAAACAAAAATCCCCCAGCACAGTCTTAGAGAAAGCAGGATTA